TGCATCAAAATTTTAACGCATAAATTCTTTTTTATATAGCGCTTGGTTTTGTGAAAAAGTAAAACCAAAATTTAGTATCATCATCGCGTTCCGTGTACCATTGATTGCGATCCGAAGAAGCATCCGCATTGCACACCGGAATGTAAATGTGATCTCATCTACCCGACAGTTCAAAAATTCTGTAATCCACCGCCGATGCCTTTGTTTCTGCAAACATGTCGCATGTGGTACACGTTTTGTCCGAAGTACAAACAGTACCACTACGCTTCACAATTCATTTACAGCAAATCCCAGAAGGGCAAAGTTAATCGTAAGTGAAAGTTTTAAGAATATTTCAGAAAAACTTGATTGGTGCTTTACCGATCCTTCACCAGTAGAGAGAATATTTGACGAAATCCTAGTACGAAATCCTAACATGGGGGAATGACGCTGGTAGAGTCTGTTGCATCAAAATTAAGATCCTCCTGTCTTTGATTTTACTAGGATGCAACCACATGCTCGAAGAAAATCTGTCTATCAACTCGGAAGTAACTTTAATGAGCTTTTTCGATGGCGGCCTAACAGTATGACGCTCTGCACAACGAAGGGCTTAGATGGGATTGTTTTACAAATTTTATAATTCCAAGAAAAAAAGGAAAAACCTTCTCCAGATTCACTCCCTTTATCGAACAACCGGACAGTGCTAACTGGATTTCTACAGCCTAGGTTGGAAGCGCTTGGCGCAGCTGCGCTCGACCAATAGAAGCACCCAGGGCCCAGACAATTTTGGTATAATTTCGGGATAAAAATCCGTTTCTCCAGTTCAGTGTTGTATGATAATTGACAAGTATGCAACTGTATTTCCGTTTTCAGCCGGACGAGCTCTACCATCAGGATCGTTACCGGAGCGCGATATCCCGATTCCATTTGTGGGAGGGCTTCTCAGCCGGGCCCTCCATGCTGCGCGAAATCGTCAGTCCCGAGCAGTAAATGAAGTCAAAACGTTGCGAGACTTCGTTGAAGCTGATAATGGATTACAGCTGAAACGACAAGGATTGCAAACTGATGTCGGCCGATCACCGTTATGGGGTTGGGATCCGCATGTGCGCAAACTATCATTACATCAGAGACCGAGGTTCGACTTTCAGTGCTAAACGAATTAGAAAGGATAAAAAAGAGCTGCATGAGTTTCCGGTTGACTTACTTCTTTAGCCAGCAATAACGAAATTAATAATTTCATGCATCTGTACGCACGGGCTGTGCCTAGGCAGAAGCTCGTTTTTATGCGTTTTGTACTGTGTAACAGCAGTACAAAACGCATACTGTCACGGGCTGTCTGTGTGTGTGTGTCCGCAGCAACTTGTCTGCAACTTTTAACTCGGGAACCAAAAGATTAGGAAAGCTGAAAATTTAGGGAAACGTTTCCTACCCACGTGTGACCCCGCAAAATTTAAATTCAACTTTCCCGTACCCGCGAGTAACACGTATGGCCCCGTGAAAGTTTTTTATGGGTAAATTAATATTTCGGGAACTACGGAGTCTAAGAGGCTGAAATTTTAGGGTAATGGTCCCATGCCCATGCTCAACCTTGCCCATTCAAGTTCAGCGTTCTCGCGCTCTTGAGTATCACCTACGGCCTCGTGAAAATTTTGGAGGGTAAACTATTAACTCGGGAATCACGGAAAGATATTCACCCTTCAAGGTTTCGAATTCAGCTTTC